AAAAAAAAAAAAAAAAAAAAGTAAGTTTTAGAGCCAGACATGTTGGTGCACACCTGTAATCCCAACACTTTGGAGGCTGAGGCAGGAGAATCACTGTGAATTTGAAGCCAGCCTGGGCTACATAGTGAGTTCAAGGCCAACCTGAATTAATAATAGCAAGACCTTGTCTTATAAACAAAAAAAAAAATAGTATATTATAAAAGTTTACTATACTATAAACATATAGTATAATATATTAGTATAAAATACAACCTAAATAGTGAAAATGTGGAGGAAATCACAACCACTGTATGATCCTAATTTTATCCATTGAAATGTCCTAAATGTGTTCTGAGACAGATTTATCCCTGAAATGTTTTGCTTAATAGTTTGGATGAACTCAAGATATGTATCTTATTCATATTCTTACATATAAGTATGACAGTTGATTCTTTTTTCCTGATTTTTAAAAACATGTACAGTATTGCTGTCTTAAAAGATGAAACTTCTGGGCCAGGGAGTTAGCTCAGTGGCTCCACCGCCTGCTTCCCAAGCACAAGGTCCCAAGTTTGATCCCCAGTACTAAAAAAAAAAAAGAAAAAGATGAAACTTGTGGTCTTTGTAAAAATCAGATTGTGTATTTGGACTTTGAAAACAAGAGTTTGGACCTTGAAAACAAAACAAAGAGCTTTACTGCTTTCTCCTGTCATTCAGTGAATGAGTCTGAGTGACTGTATTCAAATGGGAATTGCATTTAATTCGCAAGTATTTGAATTGTCAAAAAAAAAGTGAGCTTCTCATTGGAGTTTTTTGTTTGAACAGGGAAAAGTGGCATTGGTCACGAGACGTTATTAAAACGGAAAGCAGAAGAAAAATTAGAAAGCTACAGAAGAAAGATACACATGAAAAACCAAGATGAAGAAAAAGCTGCAGTACAGTTTCGGTAAAACTTTATATTTGAACTGTTTTTGGTTTCAAATCCTCTATTGCATGGTATATTCTCTGGTACCGGCGTATACAAAAACAGTTAAAGAGGTATGTAATGGGAGGTATATAAAATGCTTAAAGAGAACATAGATATTCCTGTACCTTTTTTCTTTCAATTAGGATGCGACTTAAAAACAAGCAAGATGAAATAAAACTTGAAGGAGATCTCAAAAGAAGCCAGCGAGCCTGTCAACAGTTGGATACTCAGAAGGTAAGATATTACTTACTTTTGGTATCAAAGTATTTCGGCACCCAGTGTGATTTGCCACATATTTTATTTAAAGAAAACAAAGAACTCTTATGCCTCAGCCAGGCATGGTGACACACACCTGTAATCCCAACATTCTGGGATGCCGAGGCAGGAGGAATCAAATTCCAGCTCATCTTGGGCAGTTTAGCAATTTAATGAACCCTATCTCAAAATAAAAAAAAAGTGGGGGGGCTTAGGATATAGCTATTGTGAAGACCCTGGGTTCAATCCCCAGTACGACAAGAAAAAAAAAAAGAACAAAAAACTCCAAGCCTGATTTAGCTATCTTTTTATCTGTCAAAGCCTTCGTTAGAGTTCAGTACTGATTTATGATAATGAATACGTTAATGGCGTCTTTACTTCAGGAACCTGAGTTACCTGAAGTATCCAGTAAAGGTTAAGTAACTTGTTCTCTACTAATTCGACTTTTGATGGCTTGACTGGAAATTCTGTTCTTCACAGTTTTTGACTAGCTAGAATAGCCTATTTCATCCATATTCAGTACATTACATATCTCTTGTAAAATAAAGATGGAGTGCTGTCTGTTTCAGATTTGAGTGACATAAAAAGACTTGTCTTTGCTTTAGTGGCTTTATGTAACAAAAAAAAAATGACTTCATTTAACATCTCAAAAATATCAGTATAATTTCCCGTTTCCTTCTTATGTAAATAGATTGCTGGAAGCAGTCTCTCATTGTGCTGCATCTTCATAGGACTTTACTTTGAATATGTCCTGATACTTACGATTTCCTAGTTGACATGTATTATAGCATATCCTTTCTACTAAACTGTTAGCAACAACATATGGTATTCTCACTGGACTTGACGTCCCCATAACTCGTGGTGCAGTAGTTTACTCCTAAGAAGCACTCCATAAATACTTACACTTATTGAAAGAATGACATAAATTCCTATAATCCCAAAATTCTTTTAACCTGAGCCAGAATGATCATAAATCCAAGCCCAGCTTGGGCATTTTACCAGTTTAGAAAGACACTCTCAAAACAGTTTTTTAGTAAGGGCTGGAGATATATAGCGCAGTGTGAGGGCTCTGGGTTCAATCTCCAGTACTGCCCGGTAAGGGAAAAAAAAAAAGGAATTCATGTTGGCCTGAACACACTTGTACTTGTCATAGTCTTGTGTTTAGCTCTATTTCATGAGAATAATTGCATTTTCAGAATATTCAGATTCCCAGAGAGGCATGGTACTGGTTGAAACCTGAAGAAGAAACTGAAGAAGAGGAAGAAGAAAAAGAAGAGGATGAAGATGAATATAGCAGTGAAGATTTAAGTGTATGTTCCAGCACCATTTCCTTCATAGCATGTGTCTCATCCTTGACAGGTTTCTTGAGCTGGGTGTCTTAGTTACTTTTCTCATTGCTGGGACAAAATAGCTGTTTGAAGCCAAGCACTTCCAACAGTTTGTAGAGGTTTCAGTCCACAATCAGCTGGCTCTGAGGCAAGGCAGTAGAAGACTGCAAAAAGCACCAAGGGAACCTTAACAGCATCTTTCTGCTCCTTTTATTTTATCCAGGCCACTGGGATTAGGGTGGTGCCAAAAGTGGACTGGTTTAGTAATCACACAGCTTTAATCCCAGTATCACACACTCTGGATTCAGCCACCTCTGAAAAAGCCACCTTACATATGACTGCATGAAGCTTTGGGGGGACATCTAGACCCAAACCATAACACTGGGTAATTTCTCATTGTGGGCGTCTGTCCTGTACACTTTCCCTCTAGTTCCAGTTGCACCTTTCCTTATGTCAACCAACTGTGTCTTCAGGTATTGCCAAATATCCCCTGAGGACAAAAATAAGTCCCGCGTGAGGGGAGTTCACAGGATTTTTTATTAACTCCACATCAAAATTTCATGTAGTTTTTCCATTTAACTTTCGTTTCCCTTCTCACCTCAGCTTCAGCTTAGATGATGTTAGCTGCAAATGTAAATCACTTTGTACCTTGTTTCCTGCTGAACTTCTAGAAGTGATTCTAACATGTACTTCTTTCCCTCACTCAAACACCAGAAAACATAGTCAAAAGGAAATGGAGATTATTCAAGAAAGGAAGATACACTTCTGTGGTTACTTGTATATAAGAATTCTATAAAGAATGGTTTGAAAACCTAAGTACCACTTAACTGGGAAACCACCAGTGAGAATCTTTGTAGCAGAATGAGACAGTGCTCACCTTTACCCCATCTTGGGCAAAGAGGGATAGATGCCTTGAGAGTAAAGGAGGCTAATCATCATCAAGCCAGCCCAAAACAATTTTCTTAACCTTAACCAGTGGTCTTTACTGTGTCCAGGAGACTTTCAGAAATTTCAGGACAGCTAGTAAATATGATCCGATGTATTATTTCTGCCTTTGACACCTCTAACCACTGAGAGTATAGCAGAAGATGGATAGCCTGGGACTAACTGAACATAATCTAAGCTGGAAAAATGAGATTCTGTTGAATGTGAACCTTACTTATGTGGCTTATATCTAGGTACTGGAAAAACTACAGATACTGACTAGTTACCTAAGGGAAGAACATCTGTATTGTATTTGGTGTGGAACAGCCTATGAAGGTAAGAAAATATGTTATACTTTTAAAAAGCATTAAATATTAATGTCCTTTGATTTTTAGTAGAAGTCACATTTCCTTCCCATACACAGTGGCAATTTTCTGTTCCATTCAAATGTCATTGTGGAACCAGTGTCTTAAAGAAATAGTGAGTACAGAAATAACTGAGCTGAGCATGATAGCACAGGCTATAATTCCAGCTACTCCAAGGCTCTTGCAGGAAGTCTGGAAATTTGAGGCCAGCCCAGGTAACTTACTGGGACCCAGTCTCAAAGTTAAAAAAGCTGCGGCTGTACCTCAGTGCTCCCTGGGTTCAAGCCCCAGGGGCCACAGAAACAAAACAAGACAGAAGTATTTGAATCCTTACTAGAATTCTTTTCACTTTTCAGGAACTGACTTGTAATAAGGAATTTTTGAGTGTTGTTTCAAAGGAAATAATTTTAAAATATTTTAAGGAAGATGAATTGTTTCATACTTTGTTTTTAAGAATTCTTTCTTTAGCTTGACTTTTTAGAACTAATTTTTTGTATAGAGTATTTTCCCTGAACCATTCAAATCACGTGTTGAATTTCACATCCCTTTTTTTTTTTAAACCTGCCAAATGTCTAATGAAGCCAAGTGCTTCCCCTTTTAATATATGTGCCCAAGCTGCGTTTGCTAACTTGTGTTTAAGGACTTTGTACTTGAAAGTAAAGAGGTTTTGGTTATTGTTTTTATCTCTTCCTGCTTTGTCTAGTAGAGTAACTAGCAAATGCAGCTGATTATAAATACATGACATATTGAAATTATTTTTCAGAAGCTTACTAGAAAGTTGTATTAATCTTTTATTTTCCTTATGTAAATTGTAGATGAAGACGATCTATCTTCAAATTGCCCAGGACCAACTTCGGCAGATCATGACTAAGATTATTCATAATAAAGTAAGAATTGTTTATTCCAGTAAGGAAAAAGGACCTTCATATGATGCTTTATTCTTTTTGTACTTTACAATTACTTTGTACTTTAGAATATCACTGTTTGCTGACCTGAAAAAAATAACACAATTCTACTTCAGAACACAAATATGAAGATTTGGACAGTTACAATTTGTGACTGTATTGTGATGCTTGTGGGATTGACCGAGGACCCCAACAGGTAATACTCATCCTCACTTTAGAACAAATTGAAAAATAAAACACAAAAGGGAAATCAGAATGTCAGCCTTATTAGTGGTGAAGCAGAAATAGAAAAAAAGGTTGGCTTCTTCTCTGCTCAGACTCCCTAATACTTCTTGCTGATTACAGAGCATAACAGGCTCCTTGCCTTGTAGGGTAAAAGCCTATTTTATGTTCTGAGGCCATTTAGCCCTCAAGAGTAGTGAACTGACCAGGGCTGGACTACATCTGCTTGATTCTTTGTCCCAGTATCATCTGTCAAATAAGATAGTTCTCTTGCTTAGGTGTGATGCTGCATGCCTATAATCCCATCGCTCGAAGCTGAGGCAGAAGGATTTCAAGTATACACAAGAAAATAGCAATAGCTGACCTACGTTTGCATAGGTTAAGAAAATCAATACTGCAACTTGTATTAATCACTAACCTAATAAGATCTGATTCACTTGTTCTCAAATATAAATTGGGGAGCTTTAAAAAATAGTAGTATAAGGTCCTGCTCTGAAGGATTCTGAGGTAATTGGTCACTGTGTTTTGGGCATCAGGATCATGGATTCTAAGACTCAGCAGAACTTTAGAACCACTAATCAGGTTAACTTCTAAGCCTCAGTTCTTCATCTAGGAAACTAATTACTTTTGTTACTATGAATATATATATATTTGAGTATATAGTTGAATGCTATTATTTAATATTTACGTTTTGTTTAAAAATAATAAAGTTATATTAATAGCTAAAGGAGTACAACTTTCTCTTTGAGTTACAGTCAGATCCCTTCCTGTCATTTCAGCTCCATCCCAAAACCATGTGTGTGGTTTCAGGTGGAGTGGCATTAGACAGAAGATGGCTTGCCTTTCTCCTCTTACTTGGTATAGGGACAACTCACCACCTGCCTGGTGAGTTGAAGTTTGGAATATGTTCTGAACAGTTATACTGAGAATGTGAGAATAACCTTGATGGTCCCATTATTCCACCAGCATTATGGTCTACATTTATAGGGCTAGACATAGATCAGCCTTATAGAAGGGAGATGTCCCTCCATTCTTGTTCATCTAAGGTTAAAACGATATGCTTTCAAAACAGGTAAAAACCTTCTGGGCATGGTGGCACATGCCTGTAATCCCAGCATTTGGAAGGCTAAAGCAGGAGGATCGCCATGAGTTCGAGGCAAGCCTGGGCTACATAGTGAGTTCAGTGTCAGCCTGAACCACAAAGCAAGACCCCGTCTTTAAAAAAAAAAAAAAAAGTAAAAACTTTTATTCATATAGACCCTTCGTAACTTTATAACTAGACAGTAGTGACAACTGAGAGGAGTAAAAACATTGAAAAGAAGTTTTTACTTTAAGAATATTTACATGAGGGCAGGGGATTTAGCTCAGCAGTTCGGTGGCCTGCCTTGCAAGTGCAAGGACCCGAGTTCAATTCCCGGTACCAAAAAAACAAGACAAAAAAAAAAGAATATTTATATGAAATTTGAAACCACAAAAAATGTCCTATTTTCTTAATTATAATTCCAGAATGTAGGGCTTCTGACACTCAGAATAAATCTTTAAAAACTAAATCAATTTACCTTACATGTTTACTTTAAGTGTCATTTGCCAAGCATTTAAGTGTTAAATATCTGACAGGGAAGGTAATTATTTAATGTTAGACACATTATATAGGATCAAGCATAAGTTCCTACATACTCTTAAACATACTCCCCACCAAGCACATGTGGAGTTTCTGCCTCACTGCCTTGGGGTACACAGCAACAAGAGAGCTGCCTCTACTCTCCAAAACTTCAGTGTAACAAAGGTGACAGTCATGTGTGAATGACTGAGCTTCGATGCAGACTGGACACAGTACAGTGAGGCCGTATCCAATGGGAGAACTAGGGAAAGACTGGCTCTCAGTGGTAGCTTGTGAGACACCAGGGAAGCAGCACTAAATTGAGTTCCGAAAGTCGGATGTAACTTTGACATGCAGAGTTGTGAGGCAGGAATTATACATAGTCCTGCAGTTGTACTCCGAGGTATACTTAAAAAAAAAAAAAAGAAAAAGAAACATGTCTGCATAAAACTTGTACACAAGTGTTTATGATAATATTATCCATAGCAGTCAAAGAGTGGAAACCACCCAAGTATCTATTAATTGATGAATGGATGAATGAAATGTGATATAGCCATAAAATAGAACATTATTTGGCAACAAAAAAGGAATGGCCTACTGATCCAATTTTACAGCATTGATGAATGTAACGTAATACTGAAATTTTTAAAATCACATGTTGTCTGATTATATAAAAAGTCCAGAATGGGCAAATCAGAGGAGATACAAAGTAAATTAGTGATCACCTAGAGTTGGGAAAAGATGGTGCGTGACTGTTCTTGGGTGTGAGATTTCTTTTAGGGGTAAGAAAACTTTTAATATTGAATATGGTGATGATTACACAACTCTGAGTATACTAAACATCACAACTAACATTTTTTTTTTTTTTTTTTTTTTTATGGTACCGGGGATTGAACTCGGGTCCTTGCGATTGCAAGGCAGGCCACTGAACCGCTGAGCTAAATCCCCAGCTATCACAACTAAATTTTAGCTAAGTGAATTGTACCTCAGTGAAACCATAACAAAAAAAAGTTGAAGGGAATTTCATGTAGAAAGAACAGGAGGCAACCCTGAGGGCTAAAGTTCTTTCAGGCAGCACCAAGCAGCTCTGTGGAACTGGGCTTCCATCAGGTAACACTGAACACGCGTGCTTAATGGGAGCATTTGCGGGAGCCACAACTTTAGCCCCTCGGAACTCACTGCAGACTTCTGATCTCCAGGAGTGAAGAGAATAAAGGTGTGTTGTTTTAAGCCACCAAATTTGTGGTTGTCTTGGGGCAGGAAGATAGGGTGGCCAAAACTAGCTGGGAAAGGAAGCCTGATGATCGTGAGACACAGCACAGCAATTCCCAGAACCCTCTGCAGAGCACCTTATTCTCCTATTCTTCTGTTTTTTCCTACCTTTAATAAATGTGAAGCCTAACGTGGTGGCACATGCCTGTAATCCCAGCACTTGAGAGACTGAGGTGGCAAGCTTGAGGCCAGCCTGAGCTATACAGTGAGTTCAAGTCCAAAGCAGTACTAAATATTAAATAAATGTGAAACTTTGCCACGGTTTGTGCTTGTTTTGTTCAGTTCTTTGTCCAGCACACCTCTGAAAGGAGACTTGAGAACCCAACAACAATCTGTTAATGCAGCTATAAGAGATTAAAACAGGTCTCAACCAAATTTACCCCCAAATGACCACACATTTAAAAAGCATTTTATTTGCCCCATAAAAACTGACACAGTTTTTAGTTAGAATTTGTCAGTAGTGCTTTAAATCTATCAACCAGTCTATCTGTGACCATGTGGAAATGTAGGATTAGGGTAGGTCATGGTCACAGATTGATAACTACAGACCTCAAGGGCAGGGTGGGAATTTAGATATGTACAGACAGTAACATGTAAGTACAGCTGCTTTATGTCCTGCATTTCCTGCAGTCTCCTCTGCATCTTTCTGTGAATGTTCTGGCAGCATTGATAACTTGGGATACACATAATGTTGATGGATATACCAGTACTGGCTTATAATCTACATAACTGAAAACTAGTAGCTAAAAGTATGAGACAAACACCTCAATCATGTGTAGCTCTTCTGAGGTTAATCTCATTGAGCCCTGTATTTAATTTAATGTCACCAGAATCCTGTTCCTCACCTTCCAACAAATTTAGAGGTAACCTTAATGTTTGTGTTTTCCATGATTCCTACATTCCTTCCCGCTGTTCAGGCCCTCTACGTGATTCACCCATCTGACCTTTCAAGTGTAGACTCTTCCTGCTCTAGCCCATTCAAAACACTTTTTTTTTTTGAGACAGGGTCTCACTATGTAATTGAGACTGACCTGAAACTCACTATGTAGCCCAGGCTGGTCTTGAACTCACAGCGATCCTCCTGCCTCAGCCTCCCAAGTGCTGGGATTACAGGCGTGTGCCACCACGCCTGGTTTAAAAACACATTTTCAAAGTACTGGTTTGGCCATACCCTTGTCATCCTTGAAAGTTTCTAGGAAATAACATTATGAAAATCAAATAGGTATCCCATCTTTCCCATTCCACTTTAGAGAAAGTTCTTCATAGAATAATCACATATGATAAGTGGGACAGGTTTGATAGAATCAAAAATCACTATTTTGCAACCCTTGAAGGAATGGGTCAAGGCAACAATCATCAATGGCTGCTAGAACCATTAGGTGAAATATTGGTAGGAATGATTATGGTAGATTGTGGTTTCACCAGAACCCCACTGATCAATCCTAGTCACTGAACATAGGACAATCAGGCATCATGGTCCTCTTGAAGAAATACAAAAGAAAGTATGCATCATCACCTGTGAAATACTCTTGGAAAAAACAAGAATCAAAAGCTTCTAGATCTAACTAGACATGGAGATACCATGAGCCAAATTCTGAATGGAGAGATTTTGTAGGACATAATGGTCCAATTCCTTCAAATAAATGGTATGAGGAAAAAAACATGGGGCAAATACTAGAGAATGAAAGAGACATGTTAGCCAAATGTAGTATTTGGTTTTCATTTAAACGAACCACAAAGACTTTGAGATAGGAAAATTGAATAAAGTAATTAAAGAAATTTGTGTAAGACAATGATATTGTGGTTCTGTCAAGATAAAACAACATATCTATTAGAAATACAGTTTTAAGTATTAAAATGCTACAGATAGCCTGCGTTAGGCTGAGGATGTAGTTCAGTGGTAGAGCACTATAATCATGCATGAGGCCCTAGATTTGATCCCTAGCACTGCAAAAAAAAAGGGGGAATAAGGAAAGGTAGAAGGTAAATGTAGGTAACAAGAAAAGCTAAATATTGATATTTGCTAAAGTTGGGGAATACATGATTTCATTCTATTTTTGTGTATGTGTGAACATAAAAGTTATTAAAAATATGAACAGTATTGAAATTCTTTGATATTCCATAATGAAAAGTTAACATGCCAAAGAACCTCCAGTCATGGTGTACACCTAAGTGGGGAATGGATGTTGTGTTTATGTCTAAAAATCTGCCAAAGCAGAGACCTGAAGAAGCGTCTATTCAGATTTTAAACATTTTTCTCAAGTGACATACTCAGATGCAGGGCTGTCTTCATGAACATGTAATCAGTACAGCCGCATGTGACTATGCTCAGAAGTGTCCTACATTTAATTTTTGATTTTAATTTTTTTTTCTTTTTTTGTACCGGGGGTCAAACTTGGGACCTTGTGCTGAAGAACCACCAAGCTAAATCCCCAGCCCTACATTTCATTTTTTAATGAGAGCCCTGTGTTTTTATTTTTCACTGGCCTCATGAGTTACGCAGCTAGGTATACATGCACACACATGTACACATACATATGACTGCATATGTATATGCTAAATACATTTAACACAAGTGTGCCTGTGTTGTTTATATTAAATATATGTATTTAGTAAACGTGTTTAATGATAATTTCTAGTGAAGCAACTAGATTAAAATGGCTCTTTCAAAACTGTGTGCATTTTAATAAGCAAATAAGGTCCCTGGATCTTGCCCCTCTCCTTCCCTTTTTTTTTTGGTTTTTTGAGGCAGGGTCTCACTATGTAGTTGAGACTGACCTGGAACTCACTATGTAGCCCAGGCTGGTCTCGAACTCACAGCAATCCTCCTGCCTCAGCCTCCCGAGTGCTGGGATTTCAGGCATGTGCTACCATGCCTTGTTACTCCTTCCCTAATTAAAAAGTCTTTAAGGGCTGGGGATTTAACTCGGTGGTGCCGCTGCCTGCCTCACAAGTGCAAGGTTCTGAGTTCAATCCCTGGTACCAAAAAAAAAAAAAAAAAAAAAAAGTATTTTATTTGCTATATTTCTGATAATAATAATAATAATAAAAGCTGCTAAGAATTTCTGTAGTTATGATGTAAGAGTAGAAATGTTACAATAAGGCAAAGTTAAAAGCCTATGTTCTCACTGGCCACGTTATTTAGTTTTCTTATAAGTATAGTTTCATTCATCAAAGCTAGAAAATATTAGTCTTTATTTAAAGAAAAAAGATTTCTTGGACTGAAGGTAGAAAATTTACGTAGCATGTGCAAAGCCATGTCCAATTCCCAGCAACCCCCAAATTCTTTGCAACCAATTATCCAATGGTTAGCATTTCACCAAAGCATTCATTGTATCTCTCTTCAAATATTCGTTGATTTTTTAAATCCTTTCATTCTTGCTGAACATTTGAAGGTTCCAGCCATCATAACACATCAGCCCTAAATATTTTTACATGCATTACTTAAGAATAAGTTATTTTCTGCTTAACCACAATGTCATTATCACACCTAGAAAATTAACAAGTATTCCATATTGCTATATTGTTATCTAATACACAGTCTATGCTGACAAATTCTCAATTGTTTCCCACGTGTCTTTCATGCATCTGTTTTCTGATTTTAAATATTGAGAATACAATAAAAATTCAACCATTACATTTTCTTTTATATTTATGTTGTGTGTGTGTGCGTGTGTCTTGTTTTTTAGACAAGGCCTAGCTCTGGATGTCAGGCTGGACTTAAACTCACTATATAGCCCCAGCTGGCCTCGAACTCTGTGATCCCCTTGCTCAGCCTCCCGAGTGCTAGAGTTACAGGTGCGTGGGCTTGTTGTCTCTTAATTTAGAATAGTTTCCCTACTTTCCTCCATGATACTGACTTTTTAAAGAATGACCTACAGAATGACTACTTTCAGGATATGTCTAATAATTTCCTTGTGAATGAATTCCTGTTAGACATTTTTTGAGGAAGAAAAGTAGGTGATATTGTTTTGATTCTTACATTGAGACATGTTAGGTTGCTCTACCTTGAGTGATGCTAGGTCAAATCACTTGGTTATTGTTATTGGTTATTGTGACCACAATCTCTCCACTGTAAGGGTGCATATATATCCTCTGTGAGACGATATGTAAATCTTTGCTAATATTCTTTTCCCCAAAACATCCTCACTCAGTAATTTTAGCATCCGTTGATGAACCTTGCCTTAATCAAATACTGTACTGAAAGTTGAAAATGGATTAACTGATTTTAATGAAAACTTTAAAAAATAGCTATATGCCTTTATTTACTATACTGTGAATTTTTTCATTTTCTGCTTAGCTTAAATTTAGTTCACTTTAAAACCTGTAAAGTACACGGCAGTTGGGCTGGAGATGTAGCTCAGTGGCACTGTGCCTGCCTAGCAAGCGCAAGGTCCTGAATTCGATCCCTGGTACCCAAAACAAAACAAAACAAAAAATATATGGCAGTTTTAGAATGGAAGTTGATGGCTCTAGTTTGAATTAGCCTTCCTGGTCTTTGAAGGCACAATCCAGATTATGTTCCACCTTTTCTTACAGCAATTGAGGACAACAAATGAATACACCCAATGCTTCCCAAATATGTCTTTGCCAGAACTCTTGCCAGGCCCTTGCCCAGGCTGCCCATTTGGTTTAGCTCTCATCCAAATGCCTCACATGCTTTGAAGGTTCACTGAAATGTCACCTGTAAGCTGCATGGTCAGTAGAAAGTGATCTTGGCTCTCAAGATTGACTTATTTTCTGTTCCTAGTCAGCCTTAACAGCCGTTATCTTTTTGTAAACCATGTGTTATAATAGATACAAAATATATTTTAAAAAGCACTTTTCAGCTAAAACTAGTGCACTCAACATCCAGTTTAACAAGAAAGGTCATCATTGCCATTGAAGGCCACTTCCCCAATCCTTTCCCTCCTGTATGATAACCACGGTACAGAATTGAATATCTCATTCCCTTCTCTATATTATCGTACTGCAGTTGTTGGGATCTCTAAACAATGATTTATTTTTGTGTGTTCTGGAACTTTATGTAAATAGAATCTTTCTGTAAGTATTTTTTGAAACTTTGTTCACTATTACGTTCCTAACAGATACATTGTATTATGTTACTGCACTTTTTGGGGAGGGAGTTTCGTTTTTTGAGACAGGTTCTCACTATGTAGTTGAGACTGACCTGGAACTCACTATGTAGCCCAGCCTGGTCTCGAACTCACAGCGATCCTCCTGCCTCAGCCTCCCAAGTGCTGGGATTACAGGTGTGAGCCACCACACCCGGCTTTTAAATTTTCAGTGCTGCATAACACTCCACTGTGTGAATTCATTTCATCTTTTTTTCCTTTTGATGGGCATTATGGTTGTTTCTGATTCTCCTATAAACAGGCTTTTTCTAAATAGTTGGGTTTTTTTCAAGTTTGAAGCTTTATTGAAAACCATTTTTACTAAAGTTTTAATACTTAAATATATGTGAAATCACTCCTAAATGAAACATAAAGCTATACTTCCTTTGTCCTGTAGTCATTACTGCTTGCAAGTTTTTTCCTTGATATTAAAATATGAAAGAAAAACTTAAGGATATCAAAACTCATAGATTACTTTGTGCATTTATCATTCTGTTAACAAATATCTCTACATCAAGGCCATGAATCATCATCTCATCTCATAGGATTATTATTACTGTTATTTAGAAAATCACTTTTATGTTTTATCTTGCAAGGCTAGCCTATAGACAGAATAGGTAAATAGAACAATTCTTTCCCTCTAGTCAGGTTTTTTTATTTTTTCATTAGGACAGAATTTCAGGGTTGGGTACTGGATTTGAGTAGGGATCAATGAATTTACATTTCATCAAACAAATTCTTAAAGAATAAGCTGATGGCATATAATTTTACAGCACACATCCTCGTTAAACTGAAATATAAAAATGCTTTAAACCACAGTTTTAACATACATAAGTGACCAGCACGTTTCAAATGTAATGCAGTAATCATAATATTTAACTATCCTTCTTCCCAAAGCCGTTGCTGTTTTTGCCTAAATCGCTATTTTTCATGAGTTACTGATTGGTCCTTTGAAGGGTCTTTCAGTATCTCTTCTGTTTTCCTTTTCTCCACTTTGAAGAATTCCCACTCTCCCTTTCTTATTAAGTTCATGCTGACAGCTTCCTTGTTTCAACTTAGATAAGGGATTCATGTGAGACCTTTTCCTTTATTCCAATTAGCGTCACTTTCTGTTTCACTATCATTACCATTAGGTTTGTGTTGAGAAGTTATTATTCTTGTTTTCTCACTTCCAACTACTTTTGCTGCTTCATGAGAAAAGTTGAAGATACGTCATTAGAAAACACATCATGGATTTTTAATTTTGCACACGATTCACGTAACTTTTAACTTCCTCCATCATGTGGTTGTAACTGAAGTGCTGAGAAAAGGAGTGATACGGATCCTTCTGTGAGATTATCATAAGCAGTTTCCTCTGATTGTGAGAATATGGGCCACCAAAGATTCTTTCAAAAACTTCTGCTTCATAAAACTGCCATGTTCCATACAGTCACAGCCTGGATTTTCATTAAGTTCTGTATCTCTTCAAGTGTAAGAATGTTTTTTGAAGTTAAAAAAAAAAAAAAAAAAAAACCCAAAAAACAAAATGAATGAAAACCTATCTGAACTGAAATTTTAAAAAAGGGAAGAAAATGAAAATAAGAGGAAATATCTATCAACAGCCTTTAGCTAATTAAAGGAAAACACAGATCAGAAATAATACTTTTTAGAAGGGCCCTAACAGGTATTTCTTTTCTTTTTCTCTGTGGCATCCTCCCACTCAGCCAAGATCTTGAGGATTTCCTGTGTGTCAGGTCGCCTTTGAGGTTCCCGTGATAGTAATTTCTGTAGAAGGCTTTTCTGTAATAAGTAGGTGTCAGTAGTAAGAACTAAAACATTGGAATCAATAAAACTGTGATTACTTTCCAATACTTACTTCTTTGCTATCAAACACATCATAGAAGATGCCTTTCCTTAGATCATTGAAAAACTGAAAATAAAACATTCATTTATTAGGAAATTATTTACTTAAGAGGAAAAACAAACTTAGAACACATTACCCTAAAATGTAAGTGGATCCTAGATCTCTGGAAACTCTTTTGAGCCAAGCACAACCAGAAAATCCTTACCCTCACACTCAATCTAATAACCATCCTCAACGTTCGATGTTTTTAAGAGTTACATATATGATATTGATTATTTCCCTTCATCCTTCCTGGAACCCTATGAAATATGTACCTTTTTTTTTTTTTTTTTGGTACTGGGGATAGAACTTGGGTCCTTACGCTTGTGAGGCAGATGGCGAACCACTGAGCTAAATCCCTGGCACTGAAATAGGTACTTCTAAAGTTTCCTTTTTATAGAGGCAAAAGCTGTTGACTAGACAAATTCCCTTTTCAGAGCTTCAGACTTGTATATCCGGTTGCTGCCTGCCTTTAGTAGTTACCCACTGTCTACAGAAGAAAATCCATATTCTTTCCTCATTTTAGCACCAACTTGTCTTTCCAGCTCCATTAACCATCACTTCCTTGTAACTTACATTCTCCAATAAAACTACATTTCCAGACATAGTCTGCACAGTCCCATCTTCACACTGGCGTCTCCTGCTTCCTATTCTGGACCATTAGAACGCCAGAGATTTAGCTCAGTGACACTGCACCTGCCTCATAAGTGCAAGGTCCTGAGTTCAATCCCTGGTTACTGGAAACAAAAACACAAAACAAAAAACAAACAAAAAAAGCAGGTCCCTATTTTGGACCATTAGACTTGCTTTGGTGAAATCTGAACCCACAACTAGAAAGATCTCCCTCCTAGATGTTTCCACAGACTTTATGCCATTTCCTGAAACACAGCATTCTCTTATCATTCCTCATAGATAATGAACTATTCAACCAGGTGCAGTGGTGTTTGCCTGTAATCCCAGCTTTGTGGGAGCAGAGATGAGGCAGATCATAGTTTGAGCCTCACCTGGATGACTTAGCTACTTATTGAAATCCTATCTCAAAATAAAAGAAATAAAAAATTGGGGATGTTGCTCAGCCTTAGGTTCAATCCCCAGTACTAGAAAAAACAAAAACAAAAGCAAAAAATAAAAAAAATTGTTCATTCCTAAAATTCTTTTAATACTTAGCACACTGTCTTTTGCAAAGCAGGCAATGAAAAGTTGCCAACTGATTCAAAATAAGGGTCTTAATAAAATGTACACATCTTTCAAGAAAATAAAAGGTTTTGTTCTATAAAATATATGTTCTAGGGCTGGGGATTTAGCTCAGTGGTTTTACCACCTGCCTTGAAAGCGCGAGGGCCCGAGTTTGATCTCCGGTACAAAAAAACCCAACAACAACACCACCAAAAAAAATCCCTCAAACTTTGAAATAGAAAATTCTTATTTCACTTGCACTCAGTCACAAATATGCTCAAGCCCACCTCACACATGGGCAATAACTGCATAGTGCAGACATTCAATAGGACATATGATAATTTTTGTTGCTTAATTTCTTAGATTATTTACCTCCATGGTTTCCTGGACGGTGCAACATATGTGAATAAGTTCACCTAGAATGAGTCCCAAAGCAAAGATGTCCACTTCCTTTCCATAATCTTCGGCTGAGGCCAGCTGAAGAGATCACAACATAGTTGCCTTAGTCACTTATTTGATATGAATATCTATGCTTTCTGAAGCCACAAAATCTATCATACAAAGATTCTATTTATTTGAAGGTTGGCAGAGTCTGACAGCCCAGGTTCAAATATGCAGCACCGAATAGCAGACTGTTTGGAGTAAATTAACCACTAACATGGGAACAGAATAGTCTTAACTATAAAATGGGTGTAATAATAGTATGGGCCTCCGAGTTCGACTGTGGGATTAAATGAAATGCAGCAGATGCAGCAATTAAAATACTGTATAGTAAGTGACGTTCATGCCTATATTCATAGCATATTTATAATATTCAAAAGCTAGAAACAACCCAAATATTACCAACAGGAGAATGGAAAGACACTGTGGTACAGTCATATACCATGGAATACTATTCAACAATAAAAATGAATTAGCTACTGATGTACCAAACAGCAAAAGGTTTGCCTCTGTGAGGAACGTAAACATTGTGTACTGCAGTTATGTACTGATGAAAATGAAAAAACAGAGATATCAAAGTGGACAAAATGGCAGACAAAGAAATCAAAAGACTGATTTGAAATGATTAATGACTTTAAGAGTATACGAATAAACAACTGAGTGAATTAAGGAGGGACAATGCAGGATATAAACGATCAGTTTGGCAAAGAAGTGGAGATAGAAATCTTGGAAATGAAAAGTATAAAAATGTCAAATCAAAAACTCAGCAGAAAGCCTCAACAACAGACCAGATCAAGCCGAATAAAGATTCTCAGGACTCAAAGAGAAGTATGATGAATTATTACACCCAGACACTAAAAAGGAAAAAAATATGAACAAACTATCCAAAAGTTCTGTTACACAGTTGAAAAAAACAAAGAAGAAATTTTGGTGTAGAAGAGAGTGTTCAGGTTTAGATTAGACTAACAGCAAAAAAAAAAAAAAAAAAATTATTCAAAGACATAATAACTGAATACTTTCAAAGTCTTGAGAAAGAAATGGACAACAGGTACAGGAGGTATTTAGAATCCCTAACAAGATGACCAGAAAAGAACCTCCTACATTGCATCATAGTTAAAATGTCAAGAGTGCTAAACAAGAAAAAATATTGGAAATGAATACAGAATGCTGTCACTTACAGGGGGAAACTTGTCAGTATAACTGCTGAATTCTTTGCAGAAACTTTAAAGGCCAAAAGGGCATAAAATGATATATTTCAAGCCCTAAAAGAAAATCACTTCAACCTAGATTACTAAATCCAGCAAAGACATCTTTCTAAATCTAAGGTGATGTAAAGATCTTCCAAGGTAAGCCTAAACTAAATAAATTCATGACCACTAAATCAGCATTACATAAGATACCTAAAGGAATCTTTTTTTTTTTTTTTGGTACCAGGAATCGAACTCCTAATCCTATCCTTGTGAGGCAGGCGGCAGCACCACTGAGCTAAATCCCCGGGCTTAAAGGAATCTTATACACAGAAGAGAAAGCACAGATAAACTATTGAGAATTAGGAATGAATTATTAGAAAAGCAACAAAATGATGGGAATTAATATATGTAGCTTTCTGTAACTCTGAATGTATATGGTTTAAATTCTCCCAATTAAAAATATGAACTGGCAGATTGGATTTAAAAAATAACACCCAACTCTTTGCTGCATGCAAGAAATACACCTTACAAACAAAGACACCCACAGACTGAAAGGGAAAGGACGGAAAACAATATTCCATGCTAATTGAATCTGAAACAAGCAAGAAGAGTTATACCCACTTCTGACTAAGCAGACTACAAGAAAATTAGAAAAACAACAAAAGCCAGCAAGTATTGGTAAAGGGAACAATTCACTAAGAAGATGTAACAATATATATGCACTGAACACTGGTGTAAGAAATATCGTAAATCAAACACAACTCAACATAAATGGGTTCAGGTCCCAATACAATTCACTTTCGCACAATCAGTAGTCACTGAAGAAGGCCAGGGATTTAGCTCAGTGATGCTCCAGCCTGCCTTGCAAGAGCAAGGTCCTGAGTTCGATCCCCATACTGAAAAGGAAAAAAAAGGCACTGAAGAAATCAGGGGAGCAATCTAAAAATTTCTAGAATCAGTTGAAAATGAAAACAAAGCAAACCAAAAATCTCTGCACACAGCAAAATCAGTTCTAAGAGGAAAATTTATAGTTCTGTCCTACAGAAAAAAATCATAGATCTCAAGTAAATAACCTAATGATATATTTCAAGGTTTAAAAAAAATAAGAACAAAACAAAACTAGACAGAGGGAAAGAAACAATAAAGGTCAAAATTGAAATCAATGAAACAGAGACTAAAAGAACAATACACAGGACTAAGGATAAAAAAAAGTTGGTTCTTTGAAAAGATATATAAAGTTGAAAAACCCTGAGCCAAATTAATGAAAGAGGGGGTAGGATACAATTAGAGATGAAAAAGAGTATAGTATAACAGATAGCACTGAAATCAATCCAGAGAATCATTAAAATTATTATCATTTTATTTGGGGGGTATCAGGGATCAAACTCCGGCTCTTGCACTTACTTGCAAGGCAGGCTCCAGAACCACTGAGCTAAATCCCTGGCCCTCATTAAGATTATTTTGAAAACCTACATTCTAATAAGTTTGAAACCTGGAAGAAATGGGTAACTTTGTAGACACATATGACCCACCAAAATTGAATCAAGCTGGTATTTTAAAACTTAAATAGATTAGTAACAGACAATAAGATTGAAGCAACAATAAAATATCTACCAACAAAGAAAAAAACAGAAACAGACATGTTCATTGCTTAACTTTACTAGGTCTTTAAATAAAATCTAACACCAGTGCTTCTGAAGCCATCCCATGAAAGAAGGGAAGATACGTTTCCAAACTCATTCTTTGAGGCCAATATCACCCTGATTCCAAAACAGAGGACACAAGAAAAAAGAAAACTGGTATATCCCATAAATTTGACAAACAGATGCAAAAACCCTGAATAAGATACCTGCAAACTGAATTCAACAATACATTAAAAAGATCATATACCATGATCAAGTTGGTTTCATTCCAGGTATGCACAGATGGTTCAACATAGTCACATCAATAATTATAATACGCCATATCAATAAAATTAAGGATATCTCACGATGCAGAAAAAGCCTTGGGCAAAATTGCACATTGCTTCATGATTTAAAAAAAAAAAAACCCTGAGGAAACTAGGTATTGAGTGATTGTATTTCAACACAGTAAAGGTCATATAAGAGAAACCAAGAGCCAAAATCATTCTGATTGGGAAAAAGGTGAAAGTATTTAAAAGCAGGAACTGGGCAAGGATGTTCTCTCCCACTATTCCTTTTCAATCTAGTATTGAAATTTTAGCTAGAGCAACTAGGCAAGAGCAAGAAATGAAAGAGCTTTCAAGGAGGAAAAAAAGAAATCAATGATCCTTATTTGCAAATAATATGATCATATACTTAGAAGGTCCCAAAGACTCCACCAAAAGACTTTTAGAACTGAGAAACAAATCCAACAAAGTTAACAGGACACAAAATCAACACTAGATGATGGAAAGATATCCCTTGTTCTTGGATCAGCAGTCACTTCTGTTAAAATAACATATTACTAAAAATGACTTACAGATTCCATGCAGACCCCATCAAAATTCTAATGATGCTCTTCATAGAATTTTTTTTTAAAATCCTGAAATTCATATGGAAACACAAAAGATCCAGAAAAGCCAAAGCAATTCTACGTAAAAAAAGAACAAGGCCAGAAGTAACACAATACTCAATGTCAAATGAAACAACAAAGCCAAAGTAACAATACAGCATTGTACCAGCACAAAACAGACACACAGGTCAATGGAATGGAATACAAGTCACAGAAATAATCCCATGCCACTACTTTTTTCATTTTGACAGGGTCTCACTATATAGCTCAGGCTGGCTTTGAACTCACTATAAAGTCCAATCTGGCCTCAAATTTGTGGCAATCCTCCTGCCTCAGCCTCCCAAGGGCTGGGATTACAAGTATGCGCCACCACATCTGGCAGTCATCTGATTCTTCACAAAGGAGGCAGAAACATGCATTGATGAGAAGATAACCTCATTAACAAATGGTGCTTGTTAAACTGGCTATCCATATTTAGTATAAAAGATTGAAATTATATCCTTGTGTCTCCCACTGTACAAAATCAATTGCAAATGGATCAAGATCTGAAATTCTGAAACAGCTAAAAGAAAGCATAGGGGACACACCTGAAGTCGTAGGCACAGGCACAGACTTCCTGAATAGGACTCAAACTGCACAGGAAATAACTGCAAATATCAACAAACGGGACTATGTCAAATTAAAAGTTTCTGCACAACAAGGAAAACAACTAAAAAAGTGAAAAGATGATAGCCTACCAAATGGGAGAAAATTTTGCTAGCTACCCTTCTGACAGAGAATTACCGTAACATCTAGAACATATCTTAAAAATTCCAAAAACTTAACCTCAAAAAATCTAATAGCTCCATCAATAAATGTGCAAATGAACTGACCAAGTACTTCTGAAAACAATTAAGTATAATGGTTAGTGAATGTATTACAAATGGTCAAATTAGATAAATGAAAATCAAAACTACATTGAGATTCTATCTCACCCCAGTCAGAACAGCTATCATGCAAAAAACACGAAATATTGGTGAGGGTGCCAGGTGACACAAACACTTCTACTCTGCTAGTGGGAATGTAAATTAGTACAGCCCCTACATAATCAGTGTGTAGGTTTCTCAAAAAAACTAAAAATAGAATGACAGGTGACCCAGCCACCCCACTCCTTGGTATACATTCAAAGGAATTACAGCGAGCACACTAGAGGGCTACCTGTATACCTGTTTATTGCAGCATAATTCACAACAGCCAGTATGTGGAATCAGCTTGAATGCCCACCAGGAAATTAATGCATAAAGAAATGGTGATACCCATCTATCTGTCAATCAAGCAGTCATTTATCTATCTAGTGGAATATTATTCAGCCATAAGGAAGGACAAAAATTATGCCCTTTGGGGGAAAAAGGATGGAACTAGATATTATCATTGCTAATTGAAATAAGCAAGACTCAGACACGTATCACATATTTTCCCTAAAATGTGGAATCTGAAAAGATGATATAAAAGTGGGGACTATTATTAGAAAAGAGGCAAGGAATAAGGGGGAAGGAAAGAGGGTAATGGAAGAATGGCTATAAAGTTATTAATTATGGGCTGGGGATTTAGCTCAGTGGCACAGCATCTGCCTCACAAGCGAAAGGTTCTGAGTTCCGTCCGCAGTACAAAAAAAAGTTATTAATTATAACAGTAAGAGATTATTAATTACAACAGTAGGGAATATTATGTTGACGTGAATTTACTGAGGTAAAAAGATGTCCACAACAGCCGGCGATTTAGCTCAGTGGTTCCACCGCCTGCCGTGCAAGTGCAAGGTCCCTAGTTCAATCCCCGGTATCAAAAACAAATAAAAAAAAAGATGTCCACAACACCCTGTTAATGAAATAGCAGGTTACAAAACAGTATATATGCCATTGCCAATTTTTCATTTTCAAAAATGCATTAATGTATCCTTTTTTTTTTTTTTTTTGTACCAGGGATCGAATTCTGGTCTTTGCGCTTGTGAAGCAGGCGCTGGAACCACTGAGCTAAATCCCCAGCCCCGAACGTATCGTGATATCAAGAAATTGTCTAGAATGGAGTTCACTTAACTGTTTTAATCTGTCTCTGTGAATGAGCTCCTGAGTACATTTTTTTTTCTAAGACTATTTTTCGACTTGTGCTATTACAAAATCTTTTTCTAAGCAGAGGAAGTTAAATACTGTAAATACTGAGGTGATGAATATGTTAATATAGCTTGATTGTAGTAATCACTTTGCAATGCATATGTATCCCAAAGATGCTAAACACAAAAACAGGAAGGTTGTAGGTCATCTTATATATATATGATTTTATTTGTCAATTGTGCTCAATAAAAGAGTGAAAAAATTAAAGAAGCAAAACACAGAGAGACAGAAGGGGAAGGGACTTACCTGTTCTGGACTCATGTACCTCCAAGTTCCCTTATCTCTCGTTCGTTTTTCATCATTTTTCAAGGATGTGGCAAGTCCAAAGTCTCCAATCTTTACTTGCTTTTCATCTACTAAAAATATGTTAAGTGGCTGTGGGGGAAAACAATAATTTATATTTACCAATCTGACAGACCGTTACCACATCATCTTATAAAAACTGGGGTTTTTACTTGTACAGCATTTACCCTCACACAGGTAACTCAAGTCAGCTTTATGGTCTTTAAAATGCCCAGTGGAGGAAGTAAAGACTTTAATGTGGACAGCAGAGGTAATTTGGGGCACAGCTGCCTCAACAGCTGCCTGGTGAAAACAGGGTCACTCTGCAGGGCTCCAGAGGAGGATGGATTCAGGACCAGAAGGTAGCCAAGACGAAAAGATTTGCTTTAATGTATCTTAATAGACTAAATGTGTGAACCAAAGCGTGAGTTCCCCATCCCAGAAGGAGTTAGACAGCTGCTTGAGGAAATGATGTAAATATAAGTGCAGAGCCCATGGGGACTGAAACTGACACCCTTAAGGCACTGTCCAGCTGTGAACAGTTCATTCCTAACTGTGCTGCGGGGCATCCTGTGCAGAAAGCCCCCGGGGGCTTCTTTTATGTCACTTTCTCCAGGCCTTTGCCACTTCTTCCTAAACATATCTCACCCACCTTGAAAGCTTACTAGATTAAAGGGAAACTGATAACTAGCACAAAATTCCTTTTTCATGCAATTTACTAAGCAAATTTTAAGGAGAAAAAGGAAGTGACTGAGGGTGATCGGTACTATTGTCCAGCTGTGTGGAAGGTATTGGTCAGTATTCTCAAAACCACGCAGGGCTGGGGTTGTAGCTCAGTAGTAGAACTTTTGCCTACCATGTTCCAGGCCCTAGGTTCAAACCCGAGACCCCACCCCCCCAAAGAAAAAAAGCAACAGAAGAAAAGAAACCACAAGGCTAGGGATTTGGCTCAGTGGTCCCAGCCAGAGTTCAATCCCTGGTGCCAAAGGGAAAAAAAAGAATCCACAAAAGCAGGAAAGTTGTTGAAGAGAAAATTAATATTTGCCACTCTTGCAAAAAGCTAGACTTTCAACACAGTTTCTACATACACAACAGTTCCTACACACACAAACCCTGTGGGACAACCCTTATAAGTGACACAGCTTGGTAAAGGAACTGAAAAGGAAGAGATCAAAGCCCAGGGTGATCTGAAGGAAGCTTCTGAGAATCCAGCCTGAGAAGCCTGGTGCAGAAACTGGCTATAAGATTAGAGTTTAATTAACATATTGGAACCTAATGCCAATAATACAGATGCAAGGATGCGTGTGGTGAACGTGGAGAGAAAATGTTCCCTTGCTCCAATCAAGTTACAGCATAGAAAAACACTGGTTTACAGGTGAAACTGCTACCCCACCTAACGTGGAGAGAAAATGTTCCCTTGCTCCAATCAAGTTACAGCATAGAAAAACACTGGTTTACAGGTGAAATTGCTACCCCACCTAAGGTTATACCTGACTCTGAGAAACAGGAAGCTCAATTTATGATGCCGTCTGATTATCTATAAAAGACTATGAGACTGGTAAAAATATCAGATTGCTTTTTACAATTCTTTGAAAAGAAAAAGAACAGCACATTTTGTTTAGTTATAGCATGGCTAGATAAAACGTTACAGAGCACGATAAAAGGCTGATGCTCAGGCTGCGGCTGACCATAGAGGATGGTCCAGTAGGAGACACCAAGAAGCAGCCTCAGACAGCGAGTCTTCTATGACTCTCCTCAGAGCCACCGGTCCAGTTCGTAAGATCCGATAGAAAGTTGGATACCTTACACAGGAGAGGCTTCTTCATCTACAGACCATTCGCTGGCAAAGCCACCTACATGCTGTGATTGGCAAAGCATAACCCCAAACGCACGCACCTTCACTAGCATCTTCTCTCAGACAGGAGAAAGCAGCAGTGTAGCAGAGAAAGCTAGAAAAGTTGTAAAGGAAAGAAGACTCAGCACTGAAGTCTGACCTCAAAGTAACCGCAGCCAGAGCAAAACTTTCCTGTGAACAGGCACAAGAAAAGATGACGTCCTGACACAGGATACGGCCAGCGCAGGAGTCACAGAGCCGGCAAAGGCACGACGAGGTCCCAGCCAGAATTGCACTAATTCACCGAGAGGAGGGACTGGAAGGAGAGCCCAAACCTCTCTATTCTGTAATTTCTGATTATTTGTAAATGAATACATATATAAATAACAGCGATTGATTGCTTATTTTACTCCATTCATGATTTGTCCCAAAGTGAAGGTTTAGCCAGTCTGGTAAATGTATCCTTCTGAACAAATCCTAATGTTCTAATTTTCAAGAAAACTTTCAGATATGGTTAAAGAGAACTATTAGAACCAGGAGGACTCAGACATGGAGGTGTTAAGACTTACATCCAGCCTTGGGGCAGACCAAAGAAACAGTATTTTTTAAAGCCCCACTTAGCTCTATGTATTAAGCACTACCTAATCTAACTATTCACTCTGGGCACACTATTTCCTCAGGACATTTTTTGCTTCTTTCCTTGTTCCCCGGCTGTTTTAGACAGGTAGGGTAAGCAGATGGCTGAGACCCACACAGATAAGGTGCTTCTTGCCTAGAAGAGAAGAAGGCGGAATCCAGAGTGGTCAGGAAAAACTAAAAAGAAATGAGGGCCAGAGGACACAGGCAGAGAGAGTCTGTGAGAGGACAGACACAATTGTTCAGGCGGAGGAGTCAGCATGGCCGGTTTGTGATGAGGAAAGCCACCCACAGCAGAAGAATATAGAGGAGAGAGTGTGAAAAGCTACTCTGTGTCTCTTTGGTTTTGATGACAAGGGAAACTCCGTGTCTAGAAAATATGAAGAATGATATATGTTCCAAATTTTGAATTACTGCAGTTTTCTTTTTCTTTTTTTTTATAGCCCAATATTTACTGGTACATTTTAGGCATACATAATGATTACACACATCATAGGGAATCTGCACCTGTACATGATACATCCTACCCCCTTTTGAGGCTGAAAGGCTAAACAAAACAAAAAAAAAAATCCTAGACTCTGGACCCAGTAGCTATGACTGCCCTCAGGATAATCAGATCAGGGAGCCCGGTTCTCAAAGCCACAGGCGGCAGTGGCGGCAGCAGATGTAGGAACAAAGCACCCAGCTCACTGTGCCAGCAACAATAATCACTTGCACAGAAAGGCTCCCTATATACAAAAGCTGTTAGTATTTACAACCGGGGTATGACTGTCAGCTAACCAGAAGCAGAAGCGAATGAGACTCCCAGGAAGTCCCAATCATCACAATAAGGTCATCAACCTTGGAGGTTCTCAGAGTAGCTGTATGGAGCAGGAGTTGGGCCACGTTTTGGGCCTGTTTTTTGTTGTTATTATTGCTGTTTTTTTGAGATAGGGTCTCACTATGTAGTTGAGACTGACCCAGAACTCACTATGTATCTCAGGCTGGTCTCGAACTCACAGTGATCCTCCTGCCTCAGCTCCCGAGTGCTGGGATCACAGGCATGCGCCACCACACCCAGCCTTGGGCCTATTTTAATCTCGGAGGATCAGAGGCACTATTTGGCCATGACTACTGATAAATCACAATTGCAAAACGAGAGAAGAAATATTTTTAAATTACGAAGTTATATTTATCAACTATTACAAAAAAATGTCCCCTTACCTTAAGATCTCTATGAATTATATTCTTTGAGTGTATATACTGTACTCCTGTTGTTATTTGCTCAAAGAATTCCAAAGCCAAAGATTTGTCTGAGTTGTTTTTGTCCCTTTGGTAAATCCAATTCTCCAATGTTCCTTTATCACAGAATTCCATTGAGATGAAAAGGCAACAACTCCTTGGTCTGAGTATAAAATTCACAGCATGTTAAAAGTAACAATAAAAATGAATTCATCTTTTTTAAAAAATACAAGAGCAAAATAGAAGAGAGATAATTAGGAAATAGGAAGAAGTTCAAACACTTCCCAAATTACATATTCCATTGTTTCAAAAATATTTTAATATATATGTAAATTGGTTTCATTTATACTCTAGTTTATCTTAGTTCATTAAAAAAAGTGCTGCATTATCCACTTGTTTCTTTTTTGCAAGAATCTTGGGTTTGTGGCTTATACGCTGAGAAATTAAAGATGATACACAGTATATTAAATGCTGTTATTCTACTTTGGTATGAAATTTTATTTTTTTCATAAAAGAAAAAGAAAAAAATTCTAAAGAATATCTTATCATCTTGTGAACCCCAAAACATGTCTCAAAACAGAATTCTAAATGTAATGAATTTGAATCAACGTATAATAAACTATTATCTATTTAAATCCTAAGTTCTTGTGTCCAAGGTTTTGTTTAATTAATTTATAAAGTACAGGCCTGCCCATTCTTTATTATTCGTTTATTTATTCTTTTTGTGGTACTGGGGGTTTAACTCAGGCCCTGTTCACTGAGTTACCTATCCTTCCTTTCTTCCCTTTCTTTCTTCTTCCTACCTTCCCTCACTCCCTCCCTATCACCCTCCTTCCTTTCCTCCCCCCACCCCCTTTCTCTCTGAGGCAAGGTCTGAGTAAGATGCTAAATTGCCCAGGTTGAGCTCAAAATCGCAAACCTCTTGCCTCAGCCTCCCAGTGTGCTGGGATTACAGGAGTGTGCCACTTCAATTAGTTTCTGTCCATTCCTTACTGCTGCAGATCCTTGATCATTTTTAATAAGTAAGAAAAGAAGTATCAATTGCATAAAACCTAATTTCATTATTATAAAAATAATTTTGAAACTTTTATTCACCATCAGTCAACTGAGTGCCTGTTTTGCAAAAGGTGCAGAACAGACACACAGACATGAGCAAGTGAGTTAGGCACTCTCCTTGACACTGCGAGGATCACAGTTTAATTGGAATGGTAGAGGAAAAACAGACCTAAAATGACAGTGTGAGGATAGGAACTCTAAGAGCAGTGCTAACAAACTGGACGCTGAGAACTATGTGTTAAAGGAAAGATAGCGCGAACCATGATTGATATTTTCTTCTGGACTAAATTGGGGCTCAGTATGAATTTATATCCTCTGAACAGACATGGGCTAGAAGATAGGAAGAGGTAGCCAGGAATGTACTTAGAACTGAAGAAAACCTGTAGGCTTGCAGTCAATAACTCCTGAACTGGATCGTGGAGCCCGAGCCAGAAGATGATGAATAAAGAGATCCCCAAGGGCTTCAAGAGTTCAGTTGAACAACTGTCCCCAAGAAAGGATTGGTGACTTTCAAAGGCAGATGCCAGCTCTTTAGCATTTCCGGTCCTTTGGCAGTGCGTTAACCGAAAAAATACACGAGTGACTGAGGCAGGGGTGTTCCCCTCGCTGTTCATGACCTCACGGTTATTTTCAGTGCCCTCTGCCCCTCCGTAAGGGCTGCGGTTGCACCCCCAAGGCCACGCTTGGACGGGCTGCGTCACACCAATCAGGGGCCTCTGAGAAGGACACAAAAGGAGGCTTCCGATACAGCACCTCTACGTTAAAGTTTTCTTCACAAGACTCATTTCCAGCTTGTACGGAAGCCAGGGCACGTGGGCATAGACGACCGAGTCAGAAAGCTACACTGAGATTTGCAAACAGCTAAGGACCAAAAAAAAGGCATTTAAAAGTGAAGTTGGGAACAGGGAGGAGGTGAGGGAAAGATGTTCCACTGTCTTCTTGGCAGCATGACAGGAAACAGTGTCTCTCAGAGGTGGCTGGGTTATTAAATGGGGTGTGCAATGGCATCAGCTCGTGGTGCACATGTACTAAATGACAGTTTTCCTACAGCCTTTGACAGCTATGAGAACTTCTCTTCACCTACCGTGGATTACTACTTATGCTGCACTCCGGGTCATAATCGAGTCCTCTCCAACAATAATAATACTGAACGATATTGGTATGATTAAGAGTCGCCAACGCCTGTACTTCACGCAGTACCTTCCTGTTTAAAAGAAACAGAAAAAGGGCTGGGGATTTAGCTCAGTGGTGCTGCTGCCGCCTGCCTCGAAAGCACAAGGTCAAGAGTTCAATCCCCGGTACCAAAAAACAACAAAACCAAACAAAAAAAAAATCAGAAACACAGAGGTGTCAGTACTTATCTGCAATAACTTACAAAACACCTAAGTGTCAGAGACAATTGTCCGTATTCCTTTATCAAAGGGTCACTGTGTTAACCCTCACCGAGGTTCAGAATGGGAGCCAGGAGAACTCAAGGAAAAAGTGAATACAAAGAAAAAACACAGTTGCTCTCTTTCTCAAGGTAAAAGAAAATATAAATTTAAACAATTCCAAACATCAACTTAAATACACTTGTAACAGTCTTTGAAATGCCACTGATGCAAGTTTTAAAGGGAAAATCATATATTATGTTTTGTTTGGCAATGTATTAAAATCTTTGTATTTCATAAGCAAATCCCATTTGGGCAGCAAGGGTAGGTAAGCTAGGCATCATGCAGAACCTAATTCAACATTTTTAATGTGTGAACAACAACAACAACAACAACAAAAACAGCAAGGGCATAATTTATACAAAGAAATTGAGACTTCACTGTGAACTATGGGAGCTTTATAGGGATGTGTTGTCAAGAGCTATGACAACCCCAGACTAAGCAGACTAAATAAATTTGAGATTTCAAAAATAAAGATAAGCCTACATTTTGCTATTTATTTTTTACATAAGAAGCTTTATGTGACATGTAACTTCTCAAACTAAACTAACGGGAAATTACTGATGCTTCAACCACCCTAAACCATCAATTATTTAGTACTGTTTTTTAGAATCTTTCTTTGCACACATTTTTACATTTGTAATTATGGTGTACAGCTTTTATCCTTCTTTTATATACTACCCATACAGCTTCCCTGTAGCGGTAAAATATGCATAAACAGCGTTTACAAAGTATTTAATGTAAGATTTAAAAAATACAAAAACGTTTAGCGAACAGTATCATGAACCCCAGCACAAGTACCCCAGATGGACCCGTCATCATTTCCTGGCTGATCTTGTTTCACCTGCATGTATTCTCTTAACCTCCTTCCTCATCCTCCCCTGAATTATTTTATTCATTTATTTCTTATCATTATTATTATTATTTGGTATGGGGGAATCGAACTCAGGACCTTGTGCTTGGGAGGCAGTCTGCAGCACCACTGAGCTAAAGCCCTGGCCCCGCGTCCAGCATCGTATCACGTCATGTGTAAACACTGCGGTTACTACCCTTCATTCATCATGGCTCTAAAATAAGCCACTGATTAAAGGAAACTATAAAACATATTTAATCATTTATTTATTGCTGGATATTTTGTTGCTTCTGATTTTTCACTGTTATAAATGATACTGTGTTTGATACTTTCTTATATACAGCCACAATTTGTAGCCCATTCCAGATAGGAAATTCAGACAAGAATGCATATGCACAGTTATATGGCACTAATATGAATATTTCCAAGTACGTTTTTAACATTTGGTAACAATGCATAAGTCCCCTGAAATGTCCAAGATGCTATATCTTTATCAAAATCATTACCATTTTAAAAAACTGCTACTTAACAAAAGGAAAATTAGCACTTCATTCTTGTTAAGTTTCAGAAAAAAGCCTTGTTTTGATGCTAAATAGGCACAAACGCATAGCATTGTCCATAGGAGAGGACGTAGGTAATAATTCTCAGCAACAGCAACACTGGTGAACTTGTGATTTACAATCTCCTTCTTGTGTGTTTTCTCTCCTGAAGGTGTTCTTCTCTCCAGTAAGAAAGAGGAAGCAAATAATACATAAAACAAATGTTTTAACAAGCAATGAGTGTCGGTAGGGACCCATTGAACTGATGTTCCAGAGGAAGAGTTCTAAATCCCCACCTTGTTGCATAGTAGACACTGTCCAAAGACCCCCCCCACACACACACACTGCTGAATTAAGAGATAAGAGTCTATCTGCCCTCCTCAGGAACCCAAGCTGTTGTTAGTGACTTTTATTTAACCAACACAATGTGGTAGAAGTGAAGTCCTAGAACTCCCAAGACTATTTCAAAAAGAAGATTTGCCACTTCTTTTGGTCTCTTGGGCAATCCTTCTGGGGAAAATCCTTCTGGAAAGCCAGCCTCTAAATTCTGAGAAGCTGGGACCACGTAAAAATGCCATGTGGAAGGGGGCTGGGTGACAATCTCTGCTGAGCTTTCAGCCTATAAACCAGCACCGCCTAAGCTACTACACTCTGGAGTGGCGTATCGGGCAACAACACACAAACAGAACAATTACCAACTACCCTTTACCTTACATAAACAGGTTAACATCTTTGGACTTCAGCCTCCTCATCAATAAAGTAAGGAAATGACACTAGAAAACCCAAAGGTCATTTTAAACCAAATGATTCTATACCTTCATTAATCAAGACTCGGAAAGATGGTCAATAGTATGTCTGTGTTTTATTTGTGTCTTACTGAAATTGCCATAGTCCAGTGAGATCATTGCAGAATAACCCAAGTTCCTCTGGGTACAACAAAGGTTGTTTTTTTTTTTTTTTGGTACTGGAGATCAACTCGGGCCCTGCGCTTGTTTGCAAGGCAGGCTGCAGCACTGAGCTAAATCCCCGGCCAGATAGAACAAATGTTTAAGGAGGACTGCAAGAAGTAAATGGCATGCCACTCAAGAAGAAAGAAATACAAAAACTGTGGATTTAATACAACTTTTCACTAAAAAAAAAAAAGAAACCCAAAACATGTACTACTTACTCGTCGGTACATCTAACACGCTTAATAACGGAAATCTTTCCATCTAATTTGTATTTTGCTTTGAAAACTTGGCCAAATCCACCATCGCCGATTAGTTCTCTGTCTTCGTAATTACTGGCAAACCTTAAAGAGAAACACCACCTTTACTTTGAGGTTCAGAGTCTGTCCCCTTTCCCTACCCACACCTCCTGATATGAAATGTAGAGCTAATGTGACTCTCTCCTCCGAGGTAGGAAAGGTCTGCTGATTCAGCAAGAATGGTCCCGTCTCCTCTTCCTCCCTCTGGCATGGAGAGCCCAATGTAACAGATCACCCTGGTCATCACAATCGCCTCTGGGCTGTACAGAAGCCACAATAAAGAATCCATTCATTAATATAAAACTGTGGGAAGAACTGCCCTATTACGTTCTACAGCTACCACCAATCTGTTTTAAGACACATGAGCATATGTTCTAAGCCTGCCTTGCTCTCCTCCTCTCTCTACCACTACATTCCGTCCTTAGGCTTCCCTGGTGCTTCTCCCAAAACACATCGCTGGTACCCGCCCACTTCTCTCCACCACCATCTTCACCCTGGTCCACCCTTCCATCAAATCCCTTCAGTAGCTTTCCCGGACACCCCCCTTCCTCTCCTGCACCCACTCCAGTCCTGGTCACACATCAATCTGGGCAATCAGGTCTCGCTCTTGCTTAAGCCTCTCACAGCCTACTTTGCATTCAGCAAAAACCGGAAAGCCCACGTAGGCCATGCCAGGGGCCACGTGACATCCCTCCCCTCCCTTCCAACGTCAAGCCCGGGCCCTGCAGCCTGAGCTCACGACCTTGGGTTTCCCAAACACACACTGCCTCTCCCTTTCCCCTGCCCCTCCTTTCCCCCTCTCTGTGCTAACACATTGGTTCGGGCTCCCCATAAATAAGACCTCAGACAGGGCCGGGGATTTAGCTCAGCGGTTCGGTGGCCTGCCTGGCAAGCGCAAGGACCCGAGTCCAATCCCCGGTACCAAATAAATAAATAAATAAGACCTCAGAGAAGTCTGACCTCACCCTTCACACTACATCCAAGGGTCATTTCCATTTTTCACTATCCTAGTGCTTTTCCTCTAGACCATATTTTGTAGTTAAGACTTTTAATGTATTTATTTATTTAATGTCAATCCTTCCCTCAAAACTCCACAAAAGGAGGAATTGGTTCTCTTTGCTCCGATGTGCATGTTCAGCACAGTGCCAGGTATATCTTAAGGATTTAATAAATACTTATTTGTTCATTTTTTAAAACTTATATTCAGTGCTCTGCTATTTCAAACAAGCCTCTTCTTTTTATATCTAATTTAAATACAAACACATCATCTACTGCAGAGCGATTATTTTTTCACGTGTTTTCTGGCATGGAGCTGGAAAACAGAAAACAAATCCAAGTGTGCTGATTCTGATTCCTGCAGAAGTTTGTTTGTTTATTTGTAGAAACAGACAAATTATTGATTTACAAGAGTATTTGTTTTCAATGTAAAAATTTCCATGGAGGGCCGGGGATTTAGCTCAGTGGTTCTGCCACAGGCCTCTTGAGCGCAAAGTCCTGAGTTTGATCCCCAGTACCAAACCAAACAAAACAAAAAAAAAAAACCTAAAAATTTTCCATGGATGTCAGAGAAATTAATCATTCACAAGATTCCATTTGGATTCATCTAAACCTCAGTTCTCCAAGAGACAATGGCTGCTTGTGGATCTGACTGTGCTACAAGTACTAGCTGTTTAGGTGGAAATGTAATTTAATTTTCAACAGGCCCTGAAGAAACTGTTTTGAATAAGCAAACCTATCTTCAAGTAAATTTGATTCCACAGCTCCCTCTTACCATTCATTTATAGTGTGCTTGTCTCCTTCTACATCAGCGTGGTCGAATTTAGGTGCCAAATTTCTAAAATGAAGACAAGAATGCAAAACTCAAATAAAACTCAAATCAAGTATAGCTTGCTTAGAGCACATTTTGTTCCTTGCACTGGGCTTTTTATACTTTGCGTCAACTGTATGTATGTATGTATGTATGTATGTATGTATGTATGTATGTATTTTACAGACCCTTGTGTCCAGGGCTGACTTTCAATAGATCACAGCGAGGGAATTACTCTGCTACTACGCAACCAGAAACCCCAAAACCCAGACCCAGAGGCAGGTCGTCTACGAAGGGTTTAGCGCCAGGTTCCCCACGGACTCAGTTCCCTGATGGGAGACAGGTCGGCCGCTTTTCGCTTTTCTGGCCGGGCCCAGTTTCCCAGGACAAAGGGCTCTCCGCACCTGACCCTCCCAATGCCCGGGGGAGAGCGTCAACTATTTGAATAACAGGGTAGCAAGTGTTAACCTCCGTCTTTATAAAACTATTTCCTTACGGTTCACCTATATCTGCTAATAATTTTACATCCCTCTCCTGGCCCCTTTTCACCTTCACATAACCGCGGTTGGTGTGTAACTAGTCTCTCCTTTGCTGTCTCCAGGTTCAGAACCTCAGGAACTGCACCTCCTGGCACCCTTCTTCTGCTTGTTATTTCTCACGGGAGATGAGTCGTTTGTAACCAGAAGTTCGAACACCACTTCCAACATATTGCTCTCTTCCCTCGGGGTCCTTAGGTCTTCTACCTCCTTGAGATCATCAATATTGTAATTCTTGTCTGCATCCCATCCAAGACGGGGCAATCTTCAGACCCTTTCTCCTTTCTTCTTTGACCTGCTTTCCCACCTACTGTACTCTGTCCCATGAGTCACATCTACTCTTCCTTTATAGTCTTGCCACAAATGTTCCTCACTGCCCCCATAACCATGGCTGTGGGCCTAACGACCTCTCACACAGAACTCTTTTCTGTCTCCATCCAAACATCCGCATCAGGACCCATCTTTCTTCCACACATCCACCTATTGCTTTGGATATACTGGAGACTCATTCGGACTCTTGGAGTCATGTCACTCTCATTGCTGACTGTTTTTACATCTTTGCTTTTCCCTTCAGTTAAATAAACCAATTCACCATAATTTATATAATATTTGGTCTTTTTAAAACTCATTAATACACTATTATTAATTCACCCGTCCACAAAATAATGCACTTCCCTCGAAATCACCTCTTGGGGGTGAAGGGAGGGCAGGAGTATTGGGAAAAAATAAGAACCAAGACATATTACACAAAGGGACAAGATCCGAATGATGAACGTAACTGTATGGTTTGCTTTAAATGTACCAATAAGCTTAACAACAACAACAACAAAAAGCAAGCACCTCTTGGGACCAATTTATCATCAGTCTCATCCAAAAAATGCCCTTGGGAAGGGGATTTAGCTTAGTGGTTCCACTGCCTGCCTTGCAGGCACAAGGTCCCAAGTTCGATCCCCAGTACCTAATAATACCCTTAACTAATTCATCTAGTAATATAATCAGAAGGCTTTCTGTTTCAGTGTAGCGTGTATATATATTCAAAGAGTTCTCTACTCATTTAAATAAAATGTTTGTGGATTTCAAACTTTCTACTTTTCCTGAAACTGTGCTCACATACACATACAAAATACAAATTTTGAAGACAGTAAAATTTCAGTCTAAAATATTCAAAGAACAGAGATACTCACACTTTTGTCTTCTTCTGCTTATTCCTAAGACCATTCTACAACAAAAGAAAACGGAAATAGTTTCAGATGTTGAAATCAATTATCTTGTTTCTTTAACTGACTCTCTGTATTTTTTATTAATTAATTAATTTATGTATTTATTGGTACCAGGGGTCAAACTCAGGACCTCGTACTTCAAGGCAGGTGGTGGAACCACTGAGCTAAATCCCTGGCCCTCCAACTGTATTTTTTAGTCTGTAAGAGTAACAGCTCCTTACTCTGTGTGCAATCTCAGCAAGCTTTGAACCAACACTTAGTACTGCAAGACTTAAACTATGCCACTCTCATGGGTTTCAAGTGGTATCTACTTGTTGTTTTGATATGCATTTTCTTGACTCCTCGTGAAATAAAGCATCTTGTCATATTTGCTGCCCATGTAGGTTTCTCATTTCTAAATTGCCTGTTCAGGCACTCTACACTTCTCTCCTGAGTTGCTTGTCTTTTTAAAAATAATTTGCAGCTCTTTATAAAAACAGTATTTGCATAACAAATTGCCTGATAAAATTAAGTTTAGTTTGTATTATGTTTAGTTCTGATTTGAAAGAACTAAATATTTAAATAAATATTTGAATATTGTCTAGTCGTGGAAGAGAAACACAAGGCCATAAAAATATTTCAAAACGTAAAGGTGAACGGGGAAGAATGGGAGAGAGGTGTGGTAGAAGTGAGGAGTGGCGCTCAATGGAGAAAAGGGAGCAAGTCCAAAGGCTGCTGAAGTCATTATGGAGTAGTCACACATGAGACAAGTTTAAAAGTGATGGCAGATTGCTGGAGACCATTTCTAAATGAGGAAACACAAGAGCACAATATTAGTAAGAAGCGTAGAGACTGATACTATACCGCAGAGCAACTGCTGTCGCTGTTAGTGCTCTGATCACTTCCACATGCACTTGCTGAGAAATCGTTCTCAGATGATGATTCAGAAGTTCTAGAAGAACAAAGAATAACCATCATCTATGAATTCTACTTTTTATCAATGCCTTCACTCTGTAAGTTCTTCTTAGATAGTAAATGATTTGATAAAAATTGCTGTTTTTGGCAGCAATTCCTTCTTTTCCTCCCCCACTCCTCCCCCGCTCCCCTTCTCCTCCTCCTCATTCTTTTCTTTGAGATCCAGTCTCACTGTAGCTCAGGCGGGCCCTGAACTCGCTACGTAGCCCAGGCTGGCCTTGAACTTGAAGTGAAGCTCCTGCCTCTGTCTCTCAAGTGCTGGACATACAGGTGGACATACAGCCAAACCATGCCCGGCTTCTCATTCATTTTTGTGCTGGGATCAAACTCAGGGCCTCCAACAGGCTAGGCGAGCACTCAACCACTGAGCTAAACCTTAGCCCTCAGGTAATAATTTGACTATCTTAAAATCAAGATCATTTGCCCCAAACTTACAACGTTTTGGAAGAGCCATTTCCAGAGTCACTGGATTCAGCAGGAAAATGAGCATGAGATGCCTGGTGAGCTTTCTGAAAGAGAGAGCTGCCCTCAGCACATTCTGAACGTAACTGACCTCTTCTCTACAGTGGCTCCATCTCAGGGTACCATTATATTTATTTTCCCCACATTCAACCAATTCGCAACCAAAAACATTTATATGCTTAGTACAGTTTTATACATGTTTGATCTAGACTACTGGCTATCTTGGCATTATACAAACAGTTTAACCTCTAATCTACTTCAGAGGGAAGTTTTGAAATCTGAAAAGCAAGTCTAACACTACTGCATACCTCTAACTTTTCTTCTGAAATCCGATGAAATGCAAGTTTGGCAGCCAGTTGTTTTGCATCCTGTTTAGTAGAAGCTGTTCCACAGCCGTACACTTTCTGCCCAATTTTGCATTTACAGCAAAATCTAGGAGAAAAGACAATTATTCATCCAAGCACTCAAAATACACTAAAGCTAATTTATGATCTGAAAGTAATGTCAACATTAACTTTCTAGCCAGATTTATAGCTCATATCTTTTATAATTTAAACCTGCAATAAAATGGCCAGCCAATTCATCAGAGTAACCCGCATTGGCAGACACCGCAGATACATTTCCCACGCAGAGCACCAAATGATCGTTTTGAAATTCCCTAAAAGTCAAGAGACTTAGAGGTAGGGAAGAAAGTGAGAGATCCAATGATTTTTTCAAAGATGTTCAAATGGGAATGAAAAGACTCAAAGTTGGGCTTTCAAAGGAGAAAGTTCAAGGTTATAGTGCCTTTGGGTAGAGGGATGAGCAAAAGACAGATTTTGTTCTAACTTTATGCTCAAATGTGGCTGATATGCACAAAAACCTAAGAAAATCCCCCAGTGCACCCCCTGCCCCATTTTGAAATGCATGCTCTTCTCATATGACACATAAAGACATTTGTAGTTAGGCAAGGGTCCTTGGACATTCACATAAAAACTACTCTTTATTTTTGAGACAGAGTCTCACTGTGTAGTTCAGACTAGCCTCAACTTGCAGCAATCTTACCTTAGCCCCGAGTGCTGGGATTACAGGCATGTGCCATCGTGCCTGGCAAAAACCACTTTTAAGGGGTAAAGCAATCCACATATCAATGTATGTCATGGAGTCACTATATAATATCATAAAATTACTCAAGAATTTACACTTCTTTTACTTCATGCTTCAGTTGGAGGACACACAGAGAAACATACTTGCTAGGCCCTGAATTAAACAGCTGGTGTAAATAATAGGATTGTTTGCACAGATCCTATCTTGTCCAGACACTCTCAAGTAGACTTCTCTCTTTTAGGTAGCTAAGATTGAGAAAAATAAAATAGTTCCACTTGCTGAGTGAGATTGGCCCACTGAATTCACTTTTTTTTTTGTACCAGAGATCGAACTTGGGTCGTTGTGCTTTTGAAGCAGCAGAGCTAAATCTCTGGCCGTGAATTCACTTTTGACTATTTCATTCCAATACTATCACATTTTTCTCTTCCAGGCTCTGCCCTAACAGCCACGTGAGTAAAAGCCAAGCAGTTGAGACCCTTCATAGGACAGTATCCTAGGGAGTGACAGTTTGACTACTGGTCAGTTACGATTTTCTCTTCTCTTTCACTTAACTGGTGGGTTGTCATTTAGATACAATTTCTCTTGTACATATTTGCTTTCTGATTTTTAAGTACCAATCCCTTCTACTTCCACAAGCCTTAGCTCACAAGCGATTTTTTCAGTAACTCTCAGGCTCTAATCCATTGATTTATCCTTCGCAGCCCTCATATCTGTGGTCTTCACAGTCCAGGGCTAAAATTATTCCTTCTGATATTTGATATTTGTTCATTTCATCAAATGGGAGGGACAAACACCTAGACAAACGGTACCCTAGGCTGAAAAGTCATTCTACCCACATGGCAGAGCAGTTTCCAAACAGTGACTGTCATTGTCACCTCATGGGTGGAAGGCTTATATCCCTCAGGGAGGAGCAGCCTGTGATCACCATCCAAATACACCTTAGAAATACAGCAGACTCAGGTCAGGGATTTAGCTCAGTGGTTCTGCCACCTGCCTCACAAGCACAAGGGCCTGAGTTCGATCCCTGGTACCAAAAAAACTACTGTAAAGAAATCTGTCACTGTCCTATGAAGGGGCTCAGCAATTCGCTTTTCACCCTCATGTCTTTTGGGCCACAACTAGAAAGACAAGGTGCAGTAGTATTACTGGAATGAAATAGTCAGAAATAAATTTGGTGGGTCAGTCTCAATCATTGAGACGATTTTCATTTTTCTGTAGCTCATCCTTTTGGTTCCGCTGAGTTAAATATGCCAATATTAGACATCTAAAAGAAAGTAGTCTATCTGTGGATCTCTGGATAGAAACATTTCTGTGTGAATGTGATCTCTCCCCTGCCTTCCTCTCTCTCTCTCCAAATGTACCACTGAATTATATTTATCCTTTTTCTTCTTGTTGACCATGGATAACTGGAATTGCAGAAAGCAAAACTATGCATAAGCGAAGTCTACTGTGAAGGATTACTTAACAGTGACAAATCACGGTAACTAAAATGGGAGGCTCCCTTGAGCCTATGAATCCAAGAGCAACATGGTGAGACTCCCCTCTCAAAAAAAAAAAAAGATGACCCATTGCTTATAAGCCACATAATGGGAGTTCGGTACTGCGGATGTTTTCCTGAATATCCTTGCACACCATCAGCTCTATTTCCTTTATCCTCTTTCACCAAACTATTTACCTGTCCAGTTATAATGTGCAAGGTATTTCCCTAAGATAAAATAAAAGAGGGCCAGAGATTTAGCTCATTGGTGCTGCTACTGGCCTCACAAGTACAAGGTCCTGAGTTCAATATCCTGTGCCAAAAAAATTTAATTAAAAAAATAAAGAAAAGCCTTCAACCCTGCACCACAGAGGAGCCCAGCCACTGCCCTCAGGTAGGCATACCCCTTCGACCTGGTGCCACTGAGGAGGGAGGAGCCAATACAGCGGTGATCAGGTCCAGTCCTGTTCCCCCCCCATCCCAGCGAACAAGAGAAAGAAGGCTGCTCAGAGGCTCCCAGATGAAAATTGAAGCCCACTGGAAAACTGAAGAAAATCTGTGATAAAGGCACACCACACCACCATAGCTGGTAAGTCAGAGGGACCAGCATCTCACATCAGAATGTGGTCTAACTTCAGGGAAAACACAGCTGGAACATGCAGCAGAACCTTGCGGAGTTCAACCCAGCAGGAGGACAGAGATCTCAACTTGGGCCTTGCAGCCAGAAATCAGCCTGAACCTCAGGGGACAGCTGTTGGCTTGCTAAGACTAATTACTTAGACATACACACTCCTGACCATACTGTCTATTGTGTCAACAGAGATATACCCTGAAGTAGGCCTTCTATTTCTATTTGTATTTTTTTCAAAGTAATATTTTTCACTTATCTTTGTTTAAAATATTTTTATCTATCTTTTTCTTTTCCCAATTTTTTCCTTCTTTATCTTTTCTTTTATCTCCCTCTCCCCCCCTCCCACCTTGATCTCCATTACTCTCCCTTTTTTGTTCCTGTTCCTATCCTAATTTGAATTTATTTTCTTTCTTTTCCCTTTCTTCTCTTTTTCCTTCTCTCAATTGCCATTAGTTTTAAAAGAAAGTGATTACATTCTCTAACCTCCCTATTGCTGTTACTTTGTTATGTTCTTGGGACTATTTTGTTGACTTCTCTTCTCTTCAACAGCTCCCTAGAGTTTCTGTGATCTTCCTGTGTCCTCTGAACTTATTCTAACCTTTCTCTGTCCTATCTATCCCTCCTTCCCCAACTCCTTCTAAATCCCCATCCTGAAGAGTCAAGTCTCTATGTTGAAGAGTTTATTCACTATAAACATATTTTGGGCTGATCCTCGATTTTGATTTCATTCACATGGTTAAAACGTAAATTACCACAAATTGTTATTTTCTAAGCTGTGTTTGATGCTATTGTGTTGCTGATTGTATTATTTGGGCTAAGGTATTGTGATTGATCTAATCAGTTGTCCTTCCTGGTATAATGAAATTGTGTTTTCCTTGGAGACATTAGAGACTCAAAACCTAAAGACCAGCTATATCTGGAAGATTGAAGTATTAACCCAGGAATTAAACCAAGGACAGTACCAAAAAAAAAAAAAAAGTGAAAGCATTTAAACAAGACACAGACACAGACTTCCACCCAATCAAAAGTAAACTTTGGGGGAAATGAGGTGGAAAACTGACAGTCAACCATCTGGACATCCTGAACAGATAGCACAAAACAGATCAAACAGGCTCTAGAAAAATTCAAAACAGAAATAATTTCCCAGATAACCACAGAGATGGTGAGAAGAATGAAAGACAAGATTAGAGACTCTAGAACAGAAACAGATTAAAAAAAATAGATGAGCTCAGAACCATGATAAAAACCATGAATGCCCAGCATAGGAAAGAAGTAGAAACCTGAAATGCCCAACATAGGAAAGAAATGGAATCCATGAAACAGATTCAAAGGGATATGCAGGAGATTAAAAATGCTACAGAAAGCATTTGCAGCAGGATGAAAAAATGTGAAGATAGAATTTCAGATATAGAAGATAGGATTGCAGTCAATGATCATGAACAGAGAGATCTCCTAAAAACAGTAAGGGGCCATGAGAAATCAATCCAAAAACTCTTAGATGATGCAAAGAAGAATAATATAAGACTGATAGGAATCCATGAAGTATCAGGAGAAAGTTCAAATGACATTAAAAAAAACCTGTTCACAGAATTAATGATAGAAAACTTCCCAAACAGAGGGGAAGAATTTGACATTCAGATAACTGAGGCATATAGGACTCCAACTAGCCATTATAAAAAAAAAAATCTACACCTAGACATATAATAGTCAAGATCCCAGAAACCCAATGGAAGAACAAAATATTACAAGCAGTTAGAGAAAAGAAACAAATCACATGCAAACGAAAGCCCATCAGAATCACAGCAGACATTTCAACACAAACCCTCAAGTCAAGGAGAGCCTGGAGTGAGGTATTTCAAGTCCTAAAAGAAAACAACCTCCAACCTAGACTCATGTATCCTGCAAAACTATCTTTCAAAATGGATGGGGAAATAAGATACTTCCCTGACAAAGAACACCTCAGAAATTTCATTAACACCAAATTGGCACTCCAAACACTTCTAAACAATATCCTGGAAAAAAAAAATGAAGACCACAACTCCATAAGGACCAAAAGAGCAAATATATCAGGGAAGGCAAGAAATTAAAGGAAGAGAGGGGAAAATATAAAAATAAAAAGAGCCAACAACAGGAAAATAAAATGACAATGAAAACTCAAGACACAGCAGTTATGACCACCAATGTTCTTTTTGTTTTGTTTTTTGCTTTTGGGGTTTATTTTATTTATTTATTTATTTATTTTGGTTTTTTGAGACAGCATCTCACTATGTAGTTGAGACTGACCTGGAACTCACTATGTAGCCCAGGCTGGTCTCAAACTCATAGTGATCCTCCTGCCTCAGCCTCCTGATTGCTGGGATTATAGGCATGCACCACCATGCCCGGCTAACCATCAATGTTAATGGCCTCAATTTACCAATCAAAAGAAATAGGCTGGCAGAATGGATTAAAACGCAAAATTCAACAATATGCTGTATACAAGAAACCCAGCTAATCCACAAAGAAATTCATAGACTGAGAGTAAAAGGATGGAAAACAGTTCTCCATGTGACAGGAGCCCAGAAAAAAAAGTAGAGGTAGCCATCTTATTTGCAGACAGAATAGATTTCAAATCAAAACTAAGAGAGACAAAGAGGGCCACTACATTCTTGTAGAGGCAATGGTACAAGAAGAAGAAATGACGATCATAAATATGTATGCGCCAAACACTAATGCCCCCAACTATACAAAACAAATATTAATGAATATGAAAAATGAAATAAGCACTAATACAGTTGTAGTGGGGGACCTCAATACTCCACTGACACAAATAGACAGATCATCTAGACAAAATATCAGCAACGAAATAACAGAACTGAACCAAATCATAGAACAAATGGACTTAGTAAATGTCTACAGAGTGTTCCACCCCACAAAATCAGAATATACATGCTTGTCAGCTGCACATGGGTCATTCTCCAAAATAGACCACATGCTAGCTCATAGAACTTGCTTAAATAAATGCAAAGGAACTCTAGCTATCTTCCATATATTATTAGACCATAGTGCAATTAAACTGGAGATCAACAGCCTAAGAAACTGAAATAACATCACAAACACATGGAAATTAAATAACACCCTGCTGAATTAGGAATGAAATAGGTGAAGCCACAACAGATCCACCAGAAATCCAGAGGATCATTAATACCGACTTCAAAAACCTGTACTCTAATAAAATGGAAATTACAAAAGAAATGGACAGATTCCTAGATACATATGAACTCCCAAAGTTGAACCAAGAAGATATAAAAAGTCTAAACACCTCAATTACATTCAGTGTAATTGAAAATGTAATTAAAACATTACCAACAAAGAAAATCCCAGGCTCCGATGGTTCCACTACTGAATTCTACAAGAAATTTAGAGAAGAACTATTGCCACTAATCTTTACACTCTTCAATGAAATTGAAAGGGAAGCAATATTTCCAAGTTTATTCCTGGAAGAAAGTATTACTTTGATTCCAAAACCTGGGAAAGACTCAACTAAAAAACAACAACAACAACAACAACAACAAAAAAACTACAGGCCAATCTCCCTCATGAACATAGATGCAAAAATCCTCAATAAGATACTAGCAAACAGAATACAGAAGATCATCAAGAAGATTATACACCCCAACCAAGTTGGATTTATCCCAGGGATGAAAGGATGGTTCAACATATGTAAATCACTAAATGTAATACACTACATTAACAGAATTAAGGACAAAAAACATGATTATCTCAATAGATGCAGAAAAAGCATTTGACAAAATTCAACATACATTTATGATAAAGACCCTACAGATGATTTTATCTCAACCGGATAAAGGCTATCTATGAAAAACCAACAGCCAATATTATTCTAAATGGTAAAAAACTAAAAACCTTCATGCTAAAATCAGGAAAAGACAAGGATGTCCACTGTCACCACTCTTGTTCAATATAGTTCTAGAAACATTAGCCACAGCAATTAGACAAGAGAAAGAAATAAAAAAGATAGGAAAGGAAGAAGTTAAACTGTCACTGTTTGCTGACGATATGATACTCTACATAGAAGATCCCAAAAAACTCTGCCAAAAGACTGCTGGACTTAATTGACAGATTCAGTAGAGTAGTGGGATACAAAGTCAACACTCAAAAATCAATAGCCTTCTTTTAAACAGATAACAGACTCACTGAGAGAGAAATTAGGGAAACAATTCCTTTCACAATAACATCCAAAAAATGAAATATCTAGGGATCAATTAAACAAAGGAGACAAAAGACCTCTACACTGAAAATTACAACACACTGAAAAAAGAGACAGAAGAGGATATAAGAAGATGGAAAGACATCCCTTGCTCCTGGGTAGGAAGAATCAACATAGTGCAAATGGCCAAACTTCCAAAACTGCTATACAGATTCAATGCCAAATGAAATCCCAACAGTATACTTCACAGAACTTGAGAAAACAATCCAAAAATTCATTTGGAATCAGAAGAGACATAAAATAGCAAAAGCCATTCTAGGCAACAGAGACATGGCAGGGGGTATCACAATTCCCAACTTGAAACTATACTACAAAGCCACTGTTGTAAAAACAGCATGGTACTGGCAAAGAAACAGACCTGAGGATCAATGGAATAGATTAGAAGATGCAGAAACAACACCAGACATACTCAACTACCTCATCTTTGACAAAGGAGCCAACCATCTTCACTGGAGGAAAGGTAGCCTCTTTAATAAATGGTGTTGGAAAAACCGACTTTCAATTTGCCAAAGATTAAAACTAGATCTCTATCTTGCACCATGCAATAAACTAAAATCCAAGTGGATTAAAGATCTAAATATCAAAACAGAAACACTAAACTTACTGGAGAGTGAATCAGGAAGAACTCTCAAAGACACTGACATGGGAGAAGACTTTATGAAAAAATTCTCAGCAGCACAAGAATTTGCACAAAGAATCAACAACTGGGATCTCACTGTATTAAAAAGTTTTTGCAGTGCAAGAGAAATCACCACAGAGCTAAGACACAGCCTACAATGTGGGAAAAAATTTTACCAGCTGTTCCTCAGACAAAGGACTACTATCTAGAATATATAAAGAACTCAAAAAAATCAGACTCCCCAATTACAAAGATCCGATTCAAAAATGGTCATCTGAAATGAACAGACATTTCTCAGACAAAGAAGTAAAAGCAGCAAATAAATATATGAAAAAATGTTCAACATCATTGGTCATTTGAGAGATGCAGATGAAAACAACACTGAGATTCAATCTTACCCCAGAAATAATGGCTGCTAGCAAATCAACCAATAACAAATGCTGGCAGGGCTGTGGGGAGAAAGGAACCCTTCTCCATTATTGGTGGGAGGGAAGATTGGTACAATCACTGTGGAAATCAATATGGAAATGCCTCAAAAAACTAGGATTAGAGAGGTTCCATTTGACCCAGCTATCCCTCTGCTGGGTATCTTTCCAAAAGAATTAAAAGAATCACACCACAGTGATATATGTACACCTATGTTGACAGGGGCACAGTTCCTAATAGCTAAAACATGGAAACAACCCAATTGCCCATCAGTTGGAGACTGGACACAGAAGATGTGGTTTTCCTGAAAAATGGAGTACTACTCAGCCATAAAGAATGAGAAACATTTATAGTGAAATGGATGCACAGTGAGGCTATACTCTTAAGTAAAATGAATAGGACACACAAGTAAATACTGAATATTTTCTGGTGTGAAAAACTAAAAGTGTAAATAAGGTTCAAATGGTATAATTGGGAGAGTGAAATAGGAAGAAAATGGCTAAAGGTGAAGTGGTTAGGGTAGGGTTAAGGAAATAAGGGAAAAGAAGAAAATGTGAAAAAAGGGAAAGAATGGAAACAAAGTCTTTGTACATAGGGAAGGGTGAAGTGGGTGAAGGGAGGGCAGGGGTATGGGGAAAAAACAAGAACCACGACATATCATGTACAGGTACAAGATCCCAATGATAAATGTTAACTGTATTGTTTGTCTTAAATGTACCAATAAACTTAATGGGGGAAAAAACCCACAACTTTCCATGCAGATTATATAAAAATAAAGGAAACTAGATGTGAAAACAAGTCCATTTTATTGTTTAAATATAATGAAACAAAAAGAAAAGCCAAACTATACCTTACCTTTGAAGCCCCTGTTCCCTCAAATCACACTGTTCATAATTTACAGATAGTTTCTCTTTCTGGGCAATCCGATTGACAAGGCCTATGTAATTCCCAAAGGCTGATTCTTCTGCAATGTTTTTTGTCATTGAGGATGAAGAACTACCTACCTACAACAACAACAACATCAAAACTGTTTAATATAGGGCCGGGGATTTAGCTCAGCGGTTCTGTGGCCTGCCTTGCAAGCTCAAGGACCAGAGTTCAATCCCCGGTACCAAAAAAAAAAAAAAAGGATGCAGTAGATATTCACCCATTTTCCTTTCATAGTTTCACTGAGAAAGAATAAAATGTTCACTTTCTTATTGTTTTCATGCAAATTACAGTGACACTTTAGAGCTTGCTGTATACTTTCTAAATCTCAAAATACAGGGTAAAAGAGGTG